TTTTCCTGGATCTCCTGTTTCCTTTGATGTTGTCTCACATATCTCTGAGTCTACCTATTGTCAGGTGTATTCAAACAGGTTTGCTTAGCCTAGGGCAGTCAAACCTCACTCAACTTTGACCCCTCAGCCTGCCAGGAGAGATTTCTGAGCATTGCCAAGTGTGGCCCAGAAAACAAAATAAAACAGAACAAAAGAAAATAAAATATAAAAATAATTTAAAAAACATATCATCTACACAATGGAATACTATGCAGCTCTTAGGAAAGATGAAGTCATGAAATTAGCTTCTAAGTGGATAGTCATGGAGAGCATCATGCTAAGTGAAATGAGTCAGAGAGAGAGGGACAGATATAGAATGACTGCACTCATTTATGGAATATAAAATAACACAATATGAGACTGACACCCAAGGACAGTAAAGACAAGGGCCAGAAAGATCGTACCATTGTTGGAAATCTGCCTCCTGAACTGGGGGAGAAGGCAGCTGGAATAGAGAAGGGATCACTAAGTGAATGAGGGTTGGAGGGATCATTCGGGATGGAAGATGTGTGTTGAAAGCAGATAAAGGACCAAGTGTGATAGCCTCTCAGTGTCTATACTGCAAAAGTAGAGAGAGAGAGTATGAGGGAAATTGTCTGCCATAGAGCAGGGGTAGAGGGGGGATGCGGTGAGGGGGTGAATCGTGGTGACAGTGGTATTGGAAAATGTGCACTGTTGGAGAAATGGGTGTTCTATGATTGTATGATTGAAACTCAAACATGAAAGTTTTGTAACTGGAGCTCATGGTGGTTTCAAATAAGAATAATAATCATAAAATAAATAAAAACCAATACACCTTCCTCTTTTCACCTCTCCTCTTTCCCTGCTTAAAGACTGATGGGAATCGGTCCCTTCATCCAAGCTTACATGACGTCACCGAGGAGCAGCTTATCAGAGGTTCTGCCCTACTCAGTATAGCCTTTCGCCACTAATCAAGAACTGTAGGAATGTAAGTACCAGGTCGGGGTGCTGGGATTTTTCCCTTGAATCTCATTTTCCTTGAGCAAGGTTCAGCCCATTTTATATTAGTTTTGGTTTTAGTTGGGGAGTCACATCTAATGATACTGAGGGCCCACTCCTGGCTCTGCACTCAAAAATTCCTCCTGGCATTTCTTGGGATGTCAAAGATCAAACCCAGGTCAGTCACATGCCAGACAAGCGCCTTACTCACTGCACTATCTCTCCAGCCCCCGAAATACTGTTTTTTTTTTGGTCTGGAATGAACTGGAATGAAAAAGCCATTCAGATGGACACAACAACTAACATCCCTCCTCTGCTGGAAGGTCGCTCTCCAAAAATGCTTACTTCATGCCCTCAGTCCCTCTGAGTCTTTGTTCAAACTTCAGCTTTTGTTTATTTATTTACTTATTTATTTTTAGGTTTGCGGGGATCAAAAACCAGCGGTTCTCAGGACTTATTATCGGTTCTGTGCTTACTCCTGGCAGTGCTCAGGGGACCTCATGGGGTGCCAAGGATCAAAACCCAGGTCAGCTGCCAAATGCCCTACCCACAGTACCATTGCTCCCATAGCATCCCCCAAATATCACCTTTAAAACATGACACTAACAATTTCCTATTTAAAATAAACATTCTGTTACTAGATCACAAACCTTTTGACAGTTCATTTAATTTCTAAATGCTACATAACATGGCCTTTTCATTGAAAATGTGAACTTAAAAGTCTTATTAATCTCTTTTGCACACATATACATGGCAAATTTTTTTGGATGAACCACATTCAATAATGACCAGGGTTCAGTACTGACTTTACACTCAGAAATTACTACTGGCGATGTGTGTGGGACCATTTGGGATGCCAGGAATGGAATCTGAGCTGACCTCATGCAGAGCAAGGGCCCTACCCTCTGTACGATATCTCTTCAGCCCCTACATGGTAAATTAATAACACTGACAGATCATCAATAGTATGTAGCCTATGGATTATCAGTAATTTCTGACAGTTGCACATTAACAAAGGGTCACAATTATTTTGTCTAATGGTTAAGTATTTCCAGATCCAGATGTTTAATAGTACAGCGAGGAGGGCACTTGCCTTGCCTGTGACCAAGCTTGGTTCAAACACCAGCATCCTATATGGTCCTCCAAGCCTGCCAGGAGTGATCCATGAGTTCAGAGTCAGGAGTAAGCCCTGAGCACAACCAGGTGTGCCCCAACATTAAACAAGACAAGACAAACAAGCCAACAAATTAAAAAAAACTATTTAAACAATAGATAAACACTAAAAGTCTGCTATACCCCTAAGAAGTTACAGTATTAGACATGAAGTTTGACACAAAATAAAATACAGATAGGGCTGATTGAAAATGTTGTAAGAAGTATGAAGCCAGCAACTATTTCAAGCTTTATTCTACAAGCATTTCACTGCTTTATTCACTGTAAAATAGAATAATTTGTTCATTGCACTAAGTTTCCAATGATAGAAGGCAGAGATTCAATTGTTTTCATTTTCAAAGCATGTTTCTTTTGATCCTTAGTATGATCTGGCCATGGGAGAATGAGCGATAGTACAGCAAGTAGGGTGTTCACACTTTGCAGGCGGCCAATGCAGGATTGAACCACGGCATCCCGTTTGGTCACCTGAGCACTGCCATTCCTGAGTCCAGAGCCAGAAGAAACCCCTGATCATCGTCAGCTGTGACCCCAAAATAGTCAAAAATATAAATTAAAAATTAAATTCATATATATATATGGTCCAGTGATCCCATTAAAATTCAGGTTGATAGTTTTTATCGTTAAGAATTATCATTTCTGCATGCTGAAAGTAGACGATAGGCCAAACATGATGGACACTTACTACATGTATTGCAAATGATAACAGCCAAAAAGAGAGAGCAAGTAAAAGGGCCTGTGCTTGTCACAGAGGCAGGGGCCAGGGGGAGAGGGTGGGGGTGGCAGGAGGGGTAATGAGAACATTGGTGGTGGAGAATGGGCACTGGTGGAGGGATGGGGACTCGATCATTATATGACTGAAACTCAAACATGAAACCTTTCTAAGTCTGTAACTGTATCTCAAGGTGATTCATTAATTTTTTTTTGAATTTTTTAAAAAAGAATTATCAGGGGCTGGAGTGATAGCACAACAGCTAGGACATTTGCCTTGCATGCGACTGACCTGGATTCAATTCCCAGCATCCCATATGGTCCCCCAAGCAGCACCAGGAGAAATTCCTGAGTGCATGGGCCAGGAGTAACCCCTATGCATCGCCGGGTGTAACTCAAAAAAAAAGCAAAAAAAATATCATTTATAATTCTTCTTTTCCTAAGTCAATTCAGACTTGGTTGTTCCACAATAAACCCCAAATTGAGAGAAGCCTTAGAGAAAAGCAATTACTCTCCAAAAGTTGTCAGGCCTATTTGATCGGCTATGGGAAATTTTGATTTCTCTGAGAGGCCAATTATCCCCAAGTTTGATTTCTGCTCTGCTCCTACAGAACTCTGCGGACTCAGGCTGATGAAATGGGAAAGCTTCTGAAGTTAACACCTGAGGGACTTTGATTAAAAACTTTTCTAAATTGATCCATTTGCAACTCAGGCAGTAAGTTGTAGTCCATGTGCACATCAGAAAGTTCCCTGATCTCTAGGGACCAAGTCACCGGTGTGTTTTGATAGTCCTGGATTAATACACAGGCATTCACCTGCAGCCTAGCTGAAGGTCCCATCAACTTCACCAAACTCAGACTCAGTAAATATCTCCTGTCTCTGCTCCTGCTTGAAGAAAGAGACAGGGATTTTTCTTCAGAAAAAATTCCTTTCCCTGGAGCTGGAGAGATAGAGCAGGGGGTAGGGAGTTTGCCTTGCACACAGCTGACCCTGGTTCCAACATCCGTGACATTCCATAGGGTCCCCCAAGCACTGCCAGGAGTATTTCCTGAATGCAGAGCCAGAAGTAACCGGAGCATCACCAAATGTGTGTGTTCTGTGGCCCAGAGCTGGCTTCCCACCTCCCCACCTCCCCAGGGCTCCCCAACAGAGAGACAGAGAGATGTGAAGATGAAGGACCACATTCTGATGGTGAAAAAGGCTCCTTTGATGCATCGTGGCTAGCATGTTTATTGAATATCTGAAGGGCGATTGAGGTAAGGACATAGGTGTGATTGGTCATTTACATAGATAAACATTTGGCAAAGGAAATTCTCTTGGGAATATCAAATTAAGAAGACACTGTCTCCCAGGGACTTCTACATTGCTTTTATCTTTCCCTCTGGTAGCACAGTGGGTAGGGTGTTCGCCTTACACGCGGCCAACATGGCCGACCCAAGTTCGATTCCTCCGCCCCTCTCGGAGAGCCCGGCAAGCTACCGAGAGTATTGGATATGCCAGACACAGTAACAACAAAGTCTCCAATGGAGACGTTACTGGGCCCGCTCGACAAATCGACGATCAACGGGAGGGCCTTTACTTTACTTTACTTTACTTTACTCTGGTTGTATAAGTTATCAATACCTGGGTTGTTTGGATAAACACAGTAAGAGACACAGATCTCAACACTTAGTTCTCTGGGCTCTGAGAGCAAGCAAGGCTTTTACCGTAAATACCAGACTAAATCCTCGGAATATTTCAGTTTGTCCTTCCCCATGGGGGTCCTGTCTCTTAGGGTGTAACAGTTTGCATCAAGACCATGACGGCTTGCACATGTCGACTGGGATTTGATCCCAGGCACCCCATAATGCCGCTCCTCCAGGTGCGCCTGGTGTGATCTCACACCGCTAGGTGTGCAAAAACAAAACCAAGTGCAACCAGGAGGAAGAAATGGGGCTGGCCGGCCTGCCCCTGGCGGCCGGCTGTTCCGGAAGTCCTGCATGGGCACCCGCAGTTCTCATAAGTGGACATGGTCAGTGAGCGGCATTCAGTTGATCTTTGGGGGCGCAGCGGAAGTTTAGCTGGATGTTTAGCACCTCTGAACCCCATACAAATGGGCCTATGACTGCAAGCCAAGAGCACTAACCACTCTGCTCCTGTTGCAGCAGCACGAACTGCTTGCTTGATTCTTTATGACCCTATACCTAAAACTGAAGCAACGAAATAGGCAGGAAGTCTTAAGCGTGGGAAAAGTCGGGCCGCGGTAGTTCCGCAGAAATGCCACAAGATGTCGCTGTGAGAGTTATCATTTCTCAACAGGCCCGTTTCTCTTAACAGTTTTCCACCCTTGGGTTTGCTTCAGTGGTAAGTATGGGATAATTAAGGATCAAGGAAGCTGCTTCCACAGATACTGCTGTTTGAGAACCGTTCGAGTGCTTTCTTTCACTAGAGTAACCTGGGTTCGATTCCAGCCTTCAGATCTTGTGGGGGACGTAACTGAATCTTCTCGGGGGTCGTGTGGGTTGCTCCCGCTTTGTCTCTGGACCACGAGGGGTGCAGAGGATTGAACCTGACGTGGAAAGAACAAGACAAAGACATTTATTTTTATTTTTTGTTCTCTTCTCTCTGAGCTAGAAACCTTCTGAAGACACTTTGCTATGTCTGTGACCAAGCAGGCTGGAGCGATAGCACAGGGAGCGGGTAGGGCGTTCGCCTTACAAGAGGCCAACATGGCCGACCCGAGTTCGATTCCTCCGCCCCTCTCGGAGAGCCCGGCAAGCTACCAAGAGTATTCGATATGCCAAACACAGTGACCAAGCCGTTGAGAAATATATCCTGCTATGGGCAACCCACAACCCATCACCCCACATTCTGAGGGTGCCCAAACCTCTACAATAAGGAAGAGGCAGCATGGATACAGCATGATATAGTTCAGAAACGCCCAAGTTGGGAGGAGGGTATCCTTCAATAAGGGACTGAGGCTGTTTTGGTTTTATTTGGTTTGTTCATAGTTTGGGAGACACAAATCCAGCCAAACGCAGAGGTTCTCCTGACGCTGCATTCAGGAATCACTCTTGCATGATGGTGGGGCTGTATGGAGAGCCAGAGAAAGAACCAGATGCCTGTGCCTGCAAGCCAAGAGCATTAACCGCCCTGCTCCCGCTGCAGCAACCCAAGCGGCTTGCTTGATCCCTAATGACTTTATATCTAACATTGAAGCAAAAAATTGGGCTGGAAATCTTAAGCGTGTGAAAAGTCGGTCAGCGGTAGTTCCACCGAAACGGCACAAGATGGCGCTGTGGACATTTCTGTTCCTCTTCACGCTCCTTTCTCTAAGAATTTTCCACCCTTGGGTTTGCTTCAGTGTTAAGTATGGGGTAATTAAGGATCAAGCAAGCAGCTTCCACAGTGCAGCGGTAGGGGAGCCTGCGGTTGCTTGTCTTTCACTTGAGTAATCTGGGTTTGATCCCACTCTTCAGATATTTGTGGGGTGGATAGCTGAATCTCCTGGGGGGGGTCGAGTGGGTTTCCTTAGCTTTGTCTCTAAATCTCGAGGGGTGCAGCAAATTGAACTGAGCCTTTAATGAGCAAGGCAAGGTTATTTTCTTACATTTATTGTTCTTTTCTCCCTGTATAAAAAAGTTCTGAACGCACCTTCTGATGCCTGTGACCGTGCCCTTTGAAGGTTTCCTGTCATGGGCAACCCACAGCCCATCATTCCACATTATGAAGGTGCTCTAACCGTCTTCTACACCGACGTGGGGAATGGAAGAATATACAGTTCTGACACCCTCAAGTCGGGGTGAGGGAATTCGCCATCAAGGAACTGAAGCTCTATGTTTTACTTTTTTTTCTTGTTTATTCCTTTATGGTTATGGCCACACCTGGATATGCTCAGGGCCTTCTCCTGCTCTGCACTCAGTAATCACTGTGGACATGACTGAAGAACCGTATGGGAAGCCTATGACTATACCCGGGCCCTGTGGATGCAAGGCAAAAGCACTATCTGCTCTGCTCCTGTTGAAGCAGCCCAAGCTGTGTGCTGGATCCTTAATTACCCCATTTAAGCAAAGAGAAGGGCCGAAAATCTTAAACGTGGGAAAATTTGGACCGCACAAGTTATGCTTAAACGCCACAAGATGGAGTTGCGGGTGTTTCCATCCCTCTCCATGCCCGTTTCTCTAAGAATTTTCCACCCTTAAGTTTGCATCTGTGTTAAGTATAGGGTAATTAAAGATCAAGCATGGAGCTTCAAAGGGGCGTGGTAGGAGAGCCTTGAGGTTGCTAGTCTTTCACACAGGTGACCAGCATTTGATTCCCGCCTTCAGATCTTGTGGGGTACATAGCTGAATCACCTTGGGGGTAGAGTACGCTGCTCCATCTTTGCCTCTGGACCACGACAGGTGCAGAGTATTGACCCTGACGTGGACAGAGCAAGGCAAAGCTGCAAGGCTGGAGTCATAGCACAGTGGGTAGTGGATTTGCCTTGCATGTGACCAACATGGCCAACTCGAGTTTGATTCCTCCACCCCTCTTGGCAAGCTACTGAGAGTATCTTGCCCATAATGAAAAGCCTGCCAAGCTACCCATGATGTATTCGATATGCCAAACACAGTAACAAGTCTCACAATGTTACTGGGCCCGCTCGAGCAAATCGATGAAAAATGGGAGGAAAGTGACAGTGACAGTCTGAGCTGAAAAACATCAGAAGCCACTTTGTTATGTCTGTGACCAGACCATTTAGAAGTATTTTCTGCTATGGACAACCCACACCTCATCACCCCACGTTCTGAGGGTACCCAACCCTCTTCTATGAGGAAGAGGCAGCATGGATGCAGCAAGATACAGCTCAGAAACACCCACTTTGGGTTGAGCTAATCCTTCAATAAGGGACTGAGGCTGTTTTGGTTTTATTTGGTTTGTTCTTGGTTTGGGAGCCACAAATCCAGCAACGCGCAGAGATTCTCCTGGCTCTGCACTCAGAAGCACTCGGGCATGATGGTGGGGCTGTATGGAGAGCCAAAGAGTGTGAGAGCTTTCTTTCACTTGGGTAACTTGGGTTCGATTCCAGCCTTCATATATTGTGGGGTACATAACTGGACTCAGTATAAACAGTGCTTCTCTCCCACCGTCCAGGGGCTTCTCTCCTGGGGAGATTTGTGTCCATGGACTGAGCACAACAGTCTCTGAGTAGCTTTTGCCAGGGGAGCTCTTCTTTGCAGCGTGGGCGCTCACTTCCTATGGTAACCCACAGAAGACCTCCCACCTGTCTTGTCATCCTCATGGAGCTGAGGGCATAACTGCTCACTCGAGATTTTGTCACAATGTGCATGACCAGAAGAATTCCACCCGGGCTGTTTGCTACCCGATGAACAGCAGAGGATTCCAATTACTGTGCCTGATAGTCTTCTCGTCAAAAAAAATTCTAGATCTGCAGGTTAGTTTCTAACATTTACCCGACTCTGTTGCAATTCTGACACGTGGATGGATTTTCCAGGCAAAGACCTAAAGTTTCAGCAAGATGGACAAGCAAAATAGACCGACGTCAGGTCACATAGCTGTGTAAGTTTTTTTTTTCCAACTCAAAGAACAGACACAGTAAGTGGAAATAATACCCTCTGCAGAAAATTGAAGCTCCAGTTTAGGGTGAAAATAAAAGGGGCCTGAGACTGGGTTTGGTACTAGCTCAGTGTGCAGCTTAGCGGGATAGCTTAGTGGGAGACACGTGCGAAGGCAATGATGCATCCCCACACAGCCAAGACAGACCTTTGAAAACATCTCACCTAAAGCAGATTCCTCTCAAGGATCAATGAGTTTTCTGTTATCTTGCTCTATTTACTTAGGTGGGGAGAGGGTCACAACACCATTGCTCAGGGATTCCTGCTGCTGGGACTCTGGGGAGCATGTGGGGTGCTGGGATCAAACCAGTTTTCTTCCTGGTTCCAAGTAAGTGCCTTTCCTAAAGCAAAACCACTAGTGCTGAACCATCGATTCATTTCAGCAATCACACTTGTCCTTGCTGCCTATCAAATGTAAAGTCACATTATTTACCCTAGAATAAAAAGAATTTTGGGGGGAGTTGGTGCAGGGGTAGGCATTTGCATTGCACACAGCCAGCCCAGCTTCAATTCCAGGCATCCGATATGGTCCCCCAAGCACCAATAGAAATAGTTCTTAAGCGGAGACCTAGGATTAACCCCTGAGCATCGCTGGATGTAACCTCAAAAGCAAAAATAAATAAATAAATATTTTTAGGTGTTAGAATTACTGCTTTTATGCAGCAACACGGTTGGAACTGGAAGATACCATCTTGAGTGAAGTTAGCCAGAAAAATAAACAAAAAACAGGATGATGTCATTCACCTGTGGAATACCAAACACTGGATGTGGAAATGTACTGTAAAGGGGCTGCTTAAATCATTACTGATTCCAGTGTTTAGAGAGAAGCCGGACAAAGAAGGAAAGAAATTTGGGAGGCAAGAGAACCAGAAGTTTACATGGATCAGGGATTCATTTATGCCAGTGATATGAGTGAGGGGTGTAGTCATTTACCCAAAAACACAGATGCAACAGAACTGAAAACAAGAGATCTAAGCCGTAACCACTGAAACGTAGTCATGTGCTCGTCCAGATGACAGGCGGGGGTAGAGTGGAGACTGGGGTGGGGAGGGAATACGGGAACACGGGTAGAGGGAAGCTGATTCAGGCATTGCTATTCAATTATTGTACGCCTAAGTACAACTATCAATAACTTTGAAAATCCTGGCACTTTAATGAAAACTTTAAAAAATACAATGAAATAAATTTCCAGAATTCGGAACCCACTGAGGTTAAAGACCCTCTATTCCCAGAATTAGGCTCCGATATTTTTCCTGTGGTGCTGAGACCATTGATGTGGTTGTGGGGATGGAGCAGGACCCCAACTTTCAAGTTGCATTCTCGGTGACTGAGCACTCCAATGGCATAATAGTTAGTTTCAACAAGAGAATCCTACAGCACATTTGTATGCAATTCCCCTGTTCCCAAAGGAAACTGCTGTAATGCCACATCCTGAACCTGTGATTTGAGTTCTGAAATCAAACAAAATGCACAATGAGAATTATTCCAGTGTTGAATGGAATGCAGTTGAATGACCAAGCATGTGGAGGACATCTCCATAGTTTTCACAGTCCAAGCAAGCCTACATAAAGGGAAAATCC